TGTGTCACTACTGTGACAGCTGTTTTAACAAGCAAACCATTTATATAAAATTATAATATATAAACTGATGAATTATTCCAACATTAAGATTAAAAGCTGATGTCTGAACTTGGTTGGCCGCAAATCCTAACTGAAATACAGCATCTTCAGATCAGCTGATTTTATGCATTGGTTGATTCTTTTCTGGCCTTCACACTGTCTCTATCTCTGACAGATCACAGTGTTTATACAATTGAATTAGCCCCTCAAGCATTACTTGCATTTTGCATAAAACAAATACACATTTTGGGAGTCATCACTGATTAGATTAATATGAATTATGATCCCCATGTAACCACTGTGCATACCACTACCACTCGCTGCTTCCCCGGTGCCACCACGGCTGACATTTTAAAAAAACTCCAGGACCTGATGCCGTCGCTCCCGTCCTCCATCACAAGAGTGATAGTCCATGTCGGAACAAATGACACAGCTCTTCGGCAGTCTGAGTTGACAAAATTAGATTTTAACCGTCTTCTTAACTTTTTAAAGCAGTGCGGAAAGTCCGTTTTTATCTCTGGTCCCATTCCCACAGTTGGTCGCGGTGCTGGCCGCTTCAGTAGACTCCTTGGCCTCCACGACTGGCTCCAGTCCGCCTGCAGGGCTCACCGTGTGTTTTATGTGGATAATTTTAATATTTTCTGGCAAAGAATGTCTCTTTTTAAGACAGACGGACTTCACCCAAACAAACGGGGCTCAGAAATGTTAGCTGTGCACATACAGCATGTGGTGCGGTCCACACATGACTTACGTGAATGACTAATCATTCATGCAGCACACCTGGACACACCACCGCTCACTGAACAGATCTCTGCCTCACTGCCACAAACAACTGTCTCCACCTGCTGGCATGTAAAGCCGTCTGCTCCCAGCGCTGTTCCACAGACTTCTATTCCTGTCATCATCACGCATAGACCAGTAAACCGAAATGTGCACATCCCACACAGAAATATTAGTAATCTCTTAAGGATTAGGACAACTGCACCAACTCCACCACCCAGAACAAACTCATTTAAAATGGCTCTCTTCAATGTGAGATCACTTTCAAGTAAGACTTTTATCTTAAATGATTTTATCTTGTCTGCAAATCTAGATTTTATGTTTTTAACTGAATCCTGGTTGCAAATGAATGACTATAGCCAGCTAGCTGAACTGTGTCCGCCTCAATATGATTGCTTTAGTCAACCGAGGGTCAGTGGTCGTGGTGGTGGGCTAGTGAGCGTGTATAGGAAAAATTTTAAATGTCATCAAGTAAGCTGTGATGAATTTAGCTCCTTTGAAGTTCTCACTCTTAAAGTTGGAGGGATGCAACCTATCATATTTGTTATAATTTATCGCCCCCCAAAACCGCCTGGAGGATTTTATCAGAACTTCCTGAATTTTTATCTACTCTGGTTTTAAATTATGACAGAATTGTTCTTTGTGGCGATTTTAATATTCATGTTGATGACCCCAACAATGTTAATGCAACTGACTTTTTAAATATGGCCACTTCTTTTAACTTCAAACAACATGTCAAAGGGCAAACACATAACCGTGGTCATACACTGGACTTGGTTTTTACCCTGGGTGTCAGCATTTCCTCTGTGGAATTAGTAGACATGACCATATCTGACCACAGATGTATTGTTTTTAGCTGCGATTATCCTGTTACTCATGCCGCCTCACCAAGCTCCGTGTGTTGTCGCATCTTTAATGAGCAAAGTGTTTCAAAGTTTTGCGCAGTCTTTCAGAACCAAAGCCAACACCTGTCTGATTCCAACACCAACAATCTGGTCGATCACTTCAATCATATCTGCTTGTCGTCACTAAATATTACTGCTCCTCTAAAGGTTAGGCCTACGTCTAAAGCTAGTAAACAACCCTGGATAAATGATAGCATTCGCAGCCTAAAAAGGGAATGCAGGAAAGCAGAGCGCAGATGGAAAAAATCCAATCTCCAAGTCCATTACCTCAGTCTGAAGGATTTATTAATTAACTACAATAAAATGGTTAAGGATGCGAGAACACACTATTTTTCTGAACTCATTACTACACATAAACACAATCCCAGGTTAAGACTGTGGATCAGCTGGTAAACCCAACCCCTCCTTGTGCCTCAGCTGGAAGTAATGATGACTGTGAATTGTTTTTATCTTATTTTACCAATAAGGTGGTGTCAATCAGAGCCTCTATTACCCCCGCGGCCTCTTACTTAGAGGTTCCTCACCAGCAACAACAGAGTTTTAACCAGTTTTATCCCATCGACTTGTCTGAGCTTTTAAAAACAATATCACAAATGAGAGTGTCCTCCAGCCCACTTGATATAATACCTACAAAATTTTACTAAAAGTAATAGATTCTGTTGGGCCCCATTTGATCTCTGTTTTCAACAGCTCCCTATCTACTGGTTGTGTCCCTGATTATTTTAAAACGGCTTGCGTGAACCCACTTTTAAAGAAACCTGGTTTAGATCCCTCCCTCCCACATAATTTTAGACCAATTTCAAAACTGCCTTTTATTGCAAAGATTCTAGAAAGAATTGTGTCCAGCAGCTGCTCACTGTACTGGAAAATAACAAAATATTTGAAAAGTTTCAGTCTGGTTTTAGGAAGTACCACAGCACTGAGACTGCCCTGCTTAAAGTCACCAATGACCTTTTAATGTCTGCTGATGAAGGTATGTGCTCAGTCCTTGTACTCCTGGACCTTAGCGCTGCTTTTGACACCATTGATCACAACATCATGTTAGACAGACTGAGGCACTGGGTGGGGATCTCTGGTACTGCTCTAGAATGGTTTTCATCCTACCTGTCAAATAGGAAGCTTTGCGTGTCTGTAAACAACTATGTCTCTTCATTCTGTCCAGTTAAATATGGTGTGCCTCAGGGGTCGGTCTTAGGACCCATTTTGTTTTCCTTGTATCTGCTTCCCCTTGGACATATTATCCATAAACATGGCATTTCTTTTCATATTTATGCTGATGACACACAAATATACTTGCCCGTCAGATCCACAGACCCTGGAATGCTGAGTTCACTTAACAACTGCCTTTGTGAAGTTAAAAAATGGATGTCAAATAATTTCCTCCAGCTGAAATCCTGGTCATCGGGTCCCAGCAGATGGCAAATCAAATACTGCCATCTGCTGGTTCCCTAGTAAATCACATTAAGCCTGTGGCAAAGAACCTTGGTGTTTGGTTTGATAGTAATTTAAATTTCGAGCAGCACACCACAAAGCTTGTTCAATCATGTTTTTATCAACTTAGAAATATAGCTAAAATTCGATCTATGTTAACTTTTAAGGACACCGAGACCATTTTACACGCCTTCATCTCATCACGCCTGGATTATTGCAACAGCCTTTTCACCTGTTTAACCCAAAAATCTATTGATCGACTCCAGACTGTCCAGAACTCAGCTGCCAGGCTTTTAACCAGAACAAAGAAATATGACCACATTACTCCTATTTTAGCTTCATTACACTGGCTCCCAGTATGTTTTAGAATTGACTTTAAAATTCTATTGATCACTTTTAAAGCTCTTCATGGCCTCTCGCCTTGTTATATTTCTGACCTTTTAGTCCCATACGCACCAGCACGTACCTTGAGATCCTCGGGCAGAGGTCTGTTGTCTGTTCCAGAGTCTCGACTGAAATCTAAAGGGGACAGAGCGTTTGCTGTCAGGGCCCCGAGGCTCTGGAACAGCCTGCCCGAGGAAATCAGGTCGGCTGAGTCAGTGAACTCTTTTAAGTCCCTTCTTAAAACATACTTTTATAGGAGAGCTTTTCCCGATCTTATTTGACTTTATTTTATCCCTTTTATTTTATTGTATTTTACTAATTTTATATTAAATTTTCATGCTCTTATCTTTTTTTTTGTATTATTCTTTACACTTGTTAAAGCACTTTGTAACTTGTTTTTGAAAAGTGCTCTACAAATAAGGATTATTATTATTATTATTATACTGTAAAATTTTTGTGTCGCAAAATATCGAGCCCCAGGATCTTGTCACACCTGTACTGCAAGGAAATGAGGTCATGAGGCTGACAGTGAACAGTCAGAACTTTTTTGTTCATTATTGTTGACACAATTTACACTTCAAATGATTTTTATAATAAAAGAAAAGATACAGATGAGATGGTGTAAACAGTGTGAAAGAAAAATCTATTTCACACTCATTTGAAGCAAACTATTGTGTTCCTCTCTGATGTGACTCTGGTCTTCTGATCTGCACACACGGTCATTTAAGACTATAGCCATAACTTGTGTGTGTGTTTATTGTGCAGACTTGAGCAACACATACAGTAATTAGAGAGTCTTATTTGGCGGCAGCAGAGGCCAGCAAAGTACACATGGACACACAAACACACACATATTCTCACACTTAATTATACAATGAAACCAAATCATTATCCTCAACTCGTGTACCCTGTGACCCTGCATGTTTTTTCATTTAATTGTACTTCCTTCTGATTCTGAACTTCACAGAATATTTAAATGGGCAGTCACTGTACACTTCAGCAATGGAATTTAATGAGTAGCCAAGACTTTCATTATCAGCTCTGAGCCATCAGTTAAAGAGAGACAAAGACCATATTACTGTCTAGCTTTGCAAAGTAACAGGAGGTAAAAATAAATAAATAAAACTAATCAGAAAGGGAGGTGGGTTTAAATTTTTATGTCTCACAATTGCTTTGTACCATAATATTTGCAGCTTAATATTAATGTTACAAAACCTTGAGTTAGAGTGTCTAACATATTGAGATCATTTTGTTTGTTTGTTTTGTGTTTCCATACTCATAGAGTCTTCTTTACATAGTGCATTCGGTACAGCCTTTCATTCACACCACTGAATTTGGCTTCGTGCCATCCTGATGGCCATGTCTGCAACCAGCAAAAACATAACTGAGCTGAACTTCTCATTTGACGTCGCAGAAGATAAAACAAGCTTTTGTTTCTTTTTCCCTGTGTTTCCAGATAGCTTGTCACCTCCTGTCAATGTGACCATCAATGCGGTGAAAGCAAACTCTGCTGTGGTGACATGGGACATCCCCGAGGGAGATCCTGTCATTGGCTTTGCCATTACACAGCAGGTGAGCAACGCACACACGGCACAGGCACTACATGGATTTACCTGTATATGTAAATGTACCAATCCCCCCCCCCCCCCCAAAGCATCTTTTGTATTCAAATTGTATACAAATAGAAGGTTTTTCAGTATTTTTATCAAAGCTCCCGTTGTCGATATGCATCACGGGATGTCTGAGGGACGGCCTTTAACGCTGATGAGAAACATACTCACTCTTGTGTTTTGCTGGCAACATCTTGATTATTAGCTAGTAAACAAGATACTTCAGATGTGATACGTAAAAAACAAATGTTTCAAATGCATGCTTGGTTATTTTTCGTTCGCATTCCTCCTGAGTAGTGACGTCACTGATCGAAGGGGGACCCTACCCATGCAATACAGGGCGACCCCTGGCGATGAGTTAAAAGAAATAGATTGTGACTTGTTGTAAACGACATTGAAATAGGGTTATTTTCCATGACAAACAGCGCATCACATCCATACCATTTTCCGGTTTTATACTGTATCACAGAGCGTCGGACATTATGGGATTTCAACTGAGATAGAAATCACCCTATCTACTATCCTAACAATAGGAGACAATTTAAGTATCTGAGAGGCTTTCGAACTAAAAAATAAAACATTAGCCGCAAGACTTCAGGCCGTGTACACAAAACGCAGAGTTTTTCCTGATCTGAGAACTTTACCATGCCATGGCTGTTAGGGGGACTGATGGTTTTGATTTTAAACCACAAAATCCTTTTAGTCTAATTGTGTCAGGTCCTTCAAACAGCGGTAAAACATATTTTGTGAAAATGTTGATTGAAAATGCCGATAAGCTCATTTCAAAACAGAGTGAAAATGTTGTTTATTTTTTCGTGTTGGCAACCATTATATGACCAGTTATTGAAAATTAGAAATGTGAATTTCGTTGAAGGATTGCGATCTTCTTTATGTGATGATACATTGTTGCCTTTAGATAAAAGCAATTTGTTGATTATTGATGATTTAATGAATGATGCTAGCAATAACATTGAGATCCAAAATGTGTTTACAAAATATGTGTATCATAGAAATTTAAGTTATTTATACCTAGTTCAGAATTTGTTTTTTCAAGGCAAAGTTAGCCATACTATTAATTTGAATACCAATTATCTTGTTTTGTTTAAAAATCCCAGAGATAAATACCAAGTCATGCTAATGGCTAGACAAATGTTTCCTGGGAAGAGTCATTTTTTTATGGATTGTTTGAGGATGCCACGAGTGTTCCTTACGTTTACTTGATGGTTGATTTTAAAGCTAAGACACCTGATGATTTCAGGCTCAGAACGACTTGCTTTCAGACCTGCCTGTTGTGTATGTGCCTAAGAAAAAGTAATTAAACATGTCTGATTGCTTTAAAAGAAACCTGTCTTTATGCAAACTATGCACGGAGCATCTCCATCTCAGAGAGTGAATATTATTAAATCTGCATCACCAGACCTTTTGGTAGCGTTATGCGAAATAGCTTACAATGTTTTAAAAGGTAAAATTCCTTTAAATAAGACACAGTATCAAAAATTAAAAAAGAAGCAGGCGGGGATTAGACTGCTTGCCAATAAAAAGGTTTGCGCTTCAAAGAAAAAGAAGATGTTGCTTTAAAAGTCTGGCGGTTTTCTTCTCCCCCTCCTGAGTATCGCTGTGCCTTTTATAATGAGTCTTATTGGTTCAAGACAAGCTTAGATGACTATGGAGTATGCACAAAAAATGTTTCTGGTACCTAAACAACAGCTTGATCTTTTAAGAAGAACTCCGGCACACCAGTCAATTCGAGAAACTGTTGAAAATGACCTGGATCGTACTATAAAAGACTTTCTGGATCAAAAGACTGAAGATCTTCATGAAAAAGCAAAAAAATATTCCATCACATTGCAGAGATTTCTCACCATGGTAAAAAAAGGAGAAAAAGACCAGAACACACTAACTTTGTCAATGCCGGTCGCTGAGGATTTACACTCTTCAGAGCAGAAGAATCACGCAGGAAGAGACTTTGTTTTTGAAGAAGTTTTAAAAAAACATGTCAAAAAACAGCAGGAATAAAGTCCAGCATATTTTGGATAAAATGTCCTCCTCAAAAGAAATATCTGCATGGACTGAACGTGGGGAGTTTGTGTTTAACGGTAATGTTATTAAAGGGTCTCGTGTATGATTTGATAAGAGGAGTAACTGCTTCTCACAACGTGTCTGACAGCCAGAGACCTACAGGTTGGGATGAATATCTGCAATCGTTGGCTATATTGAATATACCTTTATCAGTTGTACCAAATCAACAGGTCAAAAGAAAAATTGACGAGATTAAGAGAAAGACTTTTGGAGAATCTTCTCCTCTTATTACTGGACCACCATCTACACCTCTTATTACCAGAGGACATCGATTAGCAAACAATGAAACAAGTCCATTTGTATCTCCTAAAATGCGATTGAGTGATTGGATAACTTTTTAATTGTATATCGTTATCGGTTTTAAATAAATACATAGAGACATAACTTTATCATTTCAGTGTTTTAATTTATATCATCATAATAAAAAAACATTGTCGTACACGTTTCAATCTATAAATCATTTTGATAATGAATGGCACACAACTTCTAATATTATTATACACACTTAAAAGAATCTGATACTTGGACACACTGGTTACATTCTGCATAAGTATTTTGACCACATTCAACCGAGGGTCGTATTTTTTTCACAAATTTGCACACCATAAAATCATTGCATGACCATTTACTACTATATTTAGCCATTACATTGTCATAAGATAACCCTCTATCCATATGGTAAAGAAAAAACACACAATGCTGATCGCACACTACAGAATCCACATCTTGCACTTGTCTAATAGAATGTTGTGTGGACTTACAATTACTGTTGAGAAAGACAGAAAAGGATTCAGGAAAATGTGAGTATATAAGAGAGTTCCCAAAACTGTCAAAGAATGACCCCACACCCTACTTGTCAATATAGATAGCGACAAAGTGTTGTCCTCCCAGGTGGGTGGGGTCTGTGTTTACCACCAACATGGCGGGTCTCTTTTTAATAACTGATTTGGGAAGTTGGTTACTAGCAAATACTCCAAGAAAGACGCCTTGCTTCACTACTTTATCAAGTACTTTTGATAATTCTATCGTATTCATACTATCGTTTGTTAAAGTTAGAAAAAGTCATTGATTTATTGTGCGTTGAAGCGGATTTCTAAAACGAGCCTCTAATCTAACGCTACCGTTTTTAATGAGCGACATATGGTCTCCTTCATCAGGGCTCAGGTTAAAACAGAACAGACTATATCCATTACAAAACTTGTCGCAGGTTATGGCCATAGCGTTGTTTTTAAGATACTTTCCAGTTGCCGAGTACAACTGATGATACTCCCTGATGGCATTCCCTCTGGTAAAGTTGGGTTGAAAGGGTTTTGAAGGATATTGTTGGCTGTCAACGTATAAACATAAAAACGCCTTAGCTGTGCTAGCTTAACAGCCGGAGATACGGTGACTTTCTTTACAAACAGGCTTGCTGACATAATGTTAAAACGAAAGTCAAATTTCGGTTTTAGATCTTATGAATTTTATCTTGAGGTCTACGCCATTTATCATTAACTTGCCTTGCCAAGTCAGAATGTTATGTTATATTAGCTCCACTACGCGGCCGCCTTGTGTGTACTCCATTCTTTTAACTAGTCCCTCATTGCGTCCTCCAGCCGTTGTGTCGTCCATATGACCTGCTGTATCCATGCAAAATAGTCCGGATCCAAACTGTGTCTGCAGAGCGTCCTTTCCGTAGTTCAAAAGGCACTCTATTATACCCCTGTAAGGATATGTGTTTGATGATTGCGTTATGAGTCGGTCCCCCAACAATATGTCGACCTGTGAAAATATTGTACATCCAGGGTAGTTGATAAAGCCCACTTCATCTGCTTGATACAGGTTTCTGCCATTAGCTTTGGTGATTTTTAGTCCTCTATACTAGCTGGAATGAAAAATTCAAGGGGTGTGGAGTCTGATATCGCTGCTAGAGGAGGGAATTCGATGTAGATGCATTTCTCAATACTTGTTTGTGTTAACGGCACCATAAACAGGTCTAGCTCCGACTTGACGCACTCTTGTGACAGGCTATGTACCAACGACATTCTCGTTAGAAAATGTCTCTTGTCTTCTGACGTTTTGTCTACTTGCTTCTCCTTGTTGTTTATTGTTTATTTATTCTAGTCTTAGGATGGGTCTTCTTATTTGTTGTTCGGCTACGCCTCTTTGGTGGGGAACTCCCTCTTTTCCCAGGAGGTCGTTTTATTAGTCGGGGGGCCACGGCCACTATACCCGAACCCTCTTGACGTCTGTTCATGACGTTTGTAATAACATCCGTAGCTATGTTTTTAAATGAGGGGCAACAAATGTAAATCATTTCTTGAATAAGGGGAATTCTAATCTAAACAATCCCCTAAAGATACCCCCTAACGCTGCACCATACTGAGCACCGAGCCCACTGTATCCTGGTAAATCACCACCCGCATGGGCTGTATAATATGCAACGTACTTGTCCTCATTGTGAGCATATGGATGGTACATGTTTGCTCCTTGTCTAATACCGATATTTTATGGGTCAAAAGTGTAGCTTTAATATCACTTTGCCGTACGTAAAAGGGATATGTTGATTCTGATCTGTCTTGAGAGAAATCTCAGTACTGTCGATGTGTGTTTTGCAGAGCCTCAGATAGTGTAGTCTGCCACAAGTATTTGTGATCATATGGTTGTTTGGACCCGATATATGTACTATTCTTAAAAGAGGGACGTAACTATCCCCTACCGTTTGATGATCAACAATATCGGTATGAACAAATATATTATACATCCCTATGTTAACATCGGCAGGATGTGGCACCAAATTACGGCATCTGTGTCAACACTGTGTTAGTTCGCGGCTGAGATCTAATTGTTGCAATTCCCACAACATTTGAGCAAGTTTTCCTTGAAACGTTAATTCTGAATCTCTCGTTGGTAAAAGGCTTACTCTGTTGGTAATGTTGCTGTAATCAAGCTCAATGTGACCCATGTTGTTTTCAGATAAACAACTGTTTAGTTCAGCTATGATCTGTGATATTGTTGTATAGAACCCCTGTGTCACTGATGGAACTACCCTCTTGTTGGATTTTTTATCAAACACGACAAATTTTGAGTCTTCTGATGAAAACAATTTCCATGTTTGGAATTCCCACTGGAATTTCCATTTTGGATATTGTATTTCTATCAAACCCACCTCGTATGCTGATTTAAAGTGTAAAGGCTTGGATAGTTTCATTCTGAAGTTTGCTATTGTATTGCTCGGGTAAAATAATGCAGACGAGTTGCTGGGCAGGGTGACCAAAAAATCCTCTGTGTCCATTTATACATGAGTTTGTAATCTACTAAGGTAGCTGAATGACCTGTTTTTCCAAAATCCACGAGTTAAATTTATCTGGCCATCCGACCCATTTGACTAACACCATGTCCCTTGTCGCCTTGTCTTTTCTTTCTAGATAAAATCTTTTCTATTTTAAATGTTTTGTTTTTATCTATTATAAATTTTTGCATCTTATGCTCATAAAATGTCCCCTGTAATATTTCGCCGTCATAGTCTTTTAACCTGTAAACAGGAGGGTCCCTTGACATGCATTCCTTTACAGTGAAATATTCATCAGTATAATTTTGCTCATAACCTTTTTTAAAAGGGCCGCGTAGTTTTGAAATTCTTACAGTATCGCCCACCTCATATTTGAAATGAATTACTCTTTTATCTTTTGTTTATACAAGTTGTTAAATACGATATCTTCATTGTCTTTTTTTACATCATTCGGTTTCATTTTAATACTACGATGATAACTATGATTGTAGGAGGTGACTAAATCCTGCAATATATCTACGTATCGTTTAGAATTATTGGCTGTTAAATAACGCCACATTTTAGATTTCAGAGTCCTGTTAAAGCGCTCTACTACAGATGCCTTAGTCTCATTTGATGTGGTAAAGTGTGCGTTACTATTAATTTTCATTAACGCCTCGAAATCTTTGTTTAGGAACTCTTTTCCCTCGTCTGTTTGAATTTTATGCGGTATTCTACCTTCAGCTAAGATATCTTTAAAGGACGCTGTGACGCATTTACCACTCTTATTTTTTAAACAACTCACCCATGCTTATTTTGAAAACAAATCTATACATGTTAATAAATAGCATACCCCATCATTTTCAGCAGAATAAGCGGACATGTCGACTAGATCTATCTGGAATTGCCAATCTATTGAATTCACTAAAACCTTGTTTCTCTTAAAATGCACTGGAGCCGTCTTGTGTAGAGTATAGGCATCTTGCTTCATGAGCCAGTTTTCTACGTCTGAACCGCAGTAGTGTCAAATATGGCCTTTTTAAGTTTTTGCTTGCCTCCGTAACCCCCTGCATTTTCAGTCACATAGTATATATTCCTCATCACCTCCTCCATGATCTTTGTTACAAAGACTGACGCTTCAACGTCTGTGTTCAAGTATTTTATTTTCAGCAACATACGCAACATATCCGTCAGCAATGATTACAAGTATACACTTTTCAGAAAATCAGTACAAGCAACTATGTTTTTACAAACCAAAGATTCAGTTAAGCAATACATCACATCAGCAACATCGACATGTTGTTTTCTGGTTAGCATTAAAACACAAAAATCAATGCTAAAAGTACAAAAACAAAACACATGACCCATATGAAAATCATTATCGTTCACAGGAAAAACATTTGCTATATGGAGTAGGGTAGATTTCACATCTGCATATTTATCCGCCATCCAGAGGTCATTCGTCTAACACATTCTGTCTGTTTGTCAAATCTAGAATAACATCGTGTCCTATCTGTGTCACATATCGCATCGTTAACAGCTTCACACAACAGTGTTCTCATCTTATACACGATGTATCTCTATATTTACATAGTTTAGTAGACTAGACACATTTCCCATTGTTTTTGTAGTGTTGTTCCCCCTTCCAGATCCCCAGAGAATCCTAAACTACTGTGCTCACACTGTCCTCCACTCTAACTACCTGTTTAAGCAAAGCAATGAGAAAAGGCTTCCTCAGCCACATCTGTAGAGCAGCTGCTGCAATGTCTCGAATACTGCATTCACACGTTGACACCAACCCAAGACCGCGTAGTACATACTTTTGAGCATCAGCGAAATTTATGTTAAAAAGCTTCTGCGTAATTTCTCTCTTATGTCCTTTAATATAAAAGAAGCCGCTAACAGTAGTGTTGGGAGATGTGTACTTATCACAACTGTCCAAACAGGTACCCTTAAACGGCTTGGCCCTGCTCTTGTCCTCTTCTGCTTTTTCTTCAGGAACAAGAAATGTTTTTTTTCCCCCAGTTCTTTGCCATAGTCATCATAGACACAGACTTTAGACGTGATGGGGTAGCCTTTTTGTTGCTCTGGGGTTCCCATCATTGCCTTTTGAATGATAGAATCGTCCTTGCACGATCTAAAAAAGATGTAGGATTCTGGCTCGTAGACTTCAAGGTCTGTTTCTACACGGTAGAGCTCTCCTGGCACAGACCCGCACCATTGTGTGGTATAGACTCCTTTTGAAGCACTCATATCTTTACAGACTTTGTTTCTGAAGTAATTCCAGTCTTTGGCTGAAAAACAAATGTGTGGTGTGCTTTCATAAAGTAAAATTTCATCAAGCTCTCTTGTAGAAAGATGAACTGTTCCGTGCTCAAACAAGAATCCCGACATTCTAAAATCTTCCACCGCCCATTCAAACTGAGGCACCCAGGCCTTTCGGTCCAGAAAATCAGCCAATGTTGTTGGGGGAGTCTTCTTTCTGGGAGCCATACTCATTGCAACAGGATCTATAATTATACGTCATTTTGGAGTCATTACTCCTAATTGATTACATGCGATCCATGATTGTGATGCTGCAAAGATGGCGCTGTTGTTCTGCACGAAAATAGGTCTTTCCTATACGGATTCACCCAAAAAATCGTTCAGTCACACTGTTCCACGCTCTCGGTCAGATGTAAGTCAAAAACTAGCCCGCTATATATATACACAGTATGCTAAAGCCACTCCCATCGGCTTTTAGAGGATAACACCAGCCATCCCATATACCCCCCTTTTCACACCCGTTAATTTTTAAAATGTATTATATTTTTATATAATTTGTAATTAAATTTTTAATATAATTTTTTATATTTTTTTGATTAATTAGTTTTTGATTAATTAATTATTTTATTAATCAAACATTTATTCACGTGCACAACTGTTACGCGCATCATGCGTGTGCACGTTCACATGCATGCGCTTTGCTGGCCTTTATTTACTACTCACATTGTTCACACCTACATCAATGGCATTACTGTACAAGCTCCCATCTCATGACTTTATGGACACAAACACACAAATACACACTCATTCACAGGAGTCAGGACTGATATGATTGAGGAGGACAGCTGCTAGGTCAGTGTGGGTCACTTTCTCACAGTGGTACTGACGTGTGTGTGAAGGGAAATAGAAATGCTGTGATGTTTTGAAGGTACAAATAAAACATGAAATTATGTTATTTCCAAATAAATAGCAAGTAAAGTAGCAGCAGAAATATACGTCTTCGTATATTGTGATATTTGTATACTAATGTATTTTTTCTCTCATCTTACCTTACTGTACCTGTTCCACTTACATGCTTTTTGTCTGTATTTTCACATTAGAAGATGACATTTTAAAAGGAATAGTTTGACATTTTGGGAAATGTTTATTGGCTTTTTTGCAGAGAGTTAACAATAAGAAGATTGATAAACATGAAGGAGTCTTATTCAGGAGACAGCTAGCTTAAACTAGCATAAAGACTGTACACCTAGCCTGGCTCTGTTCCAAGATTTAAAAAATTCTATATACCAGCATCAAAAGCTCACTATTAACATGTTATATCTTGTATGTCTAATCCATACAAAACAGAAACAGAGCCAGTCTAGCAGTTTCCCCCTGCTTTCACTCTTTATGCTAAGCTAAGCTAACCAACTCCTAGCTCCAGCGTGATATTCACCGTACAGACATGAAAGTCGTGTCAATCATCCCAACTAACTCTCAGCTAGGAAGCATTCCTAAAATGTTGAACTAGTGCTTTAACAGTGAGGTATTTGCGTATGACAGCCTGACCTTTACAACAGTGTCAAACTTTTTTTCGTTAAGTGTAACTTTTATTCAACCAGGACTTCTGCCCACCCTAATAGGACTCCTAAACAAAATTTTTCCATCCTCTCCCGTGTCAAACTCCAACAGAAGAAAGACGTGCGCATGCTGCGATTCATCCAGGAAGTCAACACCACCACGCGCTCCTGTGCATTATGGGACTTGGAGGAGGAGACAGACTACATTGTGCATGTCCAGTCCATCAGCATGTCTGGGACGAGCCCACTGAGCGAACCCCTGCGCTTCCGAACGCCGAAGGAGGCCGAGACTCAGGCCTCTAAGGGTAAAGGTAAAGTAGCACAAAGAAAGAAACACACACACACAAACACGATCACTTGCTCAGTCACAGCACTTATAGAAAAAGAAACATGCACATTTCCTCACTCTGTTTCTGTGTGCAGAAGGGGCCTGGCCTTTTGACAATATCTTGACTGATTTTGTCTAAAGACCAATAAAAATCAATAGACACACAAAGCGTGAAATGAAATTTCACAACAGAGTGCTTCTTAAGCTCGACCCCGCTGATCACAACTCGGGAATAAAATGTCCGAGGGGGGTGCATGCTTCATCATGTATTGACGTGCCTCTGCAGGCCTCACCCTGCATGCACCCAGCTGCACAGTAAACCAAAATGAGGAAAGGCATTTATCGGATGTAGAGAGGAGGCAGTCAGAGTTGCGAGGGGTGGCGAATCGATGTGCTTTTGGCTGAAGTCCCACTCCATCTATTCCTCCTCTCATTTACACTCATGTCTCATGTGAGCTGCCACTATACTTTGATACTTCCCAGTCTAAGTGTCTAAGAGTCTAAACTTCTGTTATTGTGACGAGTGGGCTGGCAGAGACATGTAGAGGATAAATACAATCATTGCAGAGCACCAAAGACATGCTCTTCTCACCGCTGAGGCCAATTTAGCACAGGAAGTGTTGTCTGTGTTGTTTCTGCAAGGGGAAGAATTTACAAAAATCAATAACTGCACAGGATCCAGATAAACAAGTGATTATTTTTTTAGATTCCATCCTGTTGTGTACATGCTTTTTTCCCCTCAGGTTCCAGATATGATTCTTTCTCCTGCTGTTTTTGGAACCCATGACGGCAGAATGAACAGTGCCTCATGACCACAAACACAGACATTTTTACGAGGGACTGTAACAGGAAAAGTATATACTCCTTAAAGGAAAAGTTTCACATTTTTGCCAAGATCCTGCCAAGTCTGTATGCTAAACATGTAGCTACCGCCATCAGTCATCTTATTTAGTTTAGCATAAAGACTGTTTTACTAATGTGCTGGACTTTCTTGGCCGGAACAAGAAATAATCTAGTACCTAAAAGGAAAAAAAAAAGTTTTTTGTACAGATTAAAGAAACATGATATAATGTGTTAATTAGTAAGCTTTAAAAGTGCTGGAAGGCAGATTTTGTTTCCTTTACACAGGCCCAGATTTGCGGTTTACTGCTGTGGCTGATCTTTATACTAAGCTAAATTAGCTGGCTGCATGCAGTAGCATCATTTTTGGAATACAGACATGAGAGTGGTGTCATTCTACTCATCTAACTCTCAGCAAGTAAGGGAATAAGTGTATTTTCCAAAATGCCCCAAAAGAATTATTCATTTAAAATGAGCAGGTCATCACTGCGTCAAACGCAGTAGATTCCTCTGTGATATAAATGTTTGTTTGCTTGTTTTATTTGGAAGGCTGTGAGAGAAAGCCTCAGTTCACTCATCCATTGCCCAAAAGTGTAAGATTTCCACATATTGGCAGGCTCTAGTCTGCAAACACACACACACACACACACTCAGCAAGTCTAAGTCCCTATTCGCTGCAAGGCAAAAAAGATTTCCCCGCTCCTCCACACATTTTGCACCATGCACACGTTTCACAAAGCAAATCTCCACAGAGAGCAGGTCTGTAATCATCATTCTCTCGTACTCAACAACAGCTTCACCGTCTAGCTCAATGGCACACATCAGTCTCAGTCTCATTGGCAGCATTTGCTCAAGGATGTCAGTTTAATTAGCTTAGCTGTGTTGAAACAATGAAACCTTTTGATGACAGATGAGCAGATGTTTGTCAAGTCAACAAGTTTGTAATGCAGTGGGAAATCAGTGTAGTTGAGAATCCACCACAGTGCCAATGAATGAATGAGTGTTAGTTCATTTTCCAAATAAGAGCGAGACAGTGATTTGTTTGTTTGGCTTTTATACTGGAGGGCTTTATCTTGTATGATTTTCTAAAGGTAAACAATCAGACAGAAACTGCGCAGGTGATAACTACTAATTTTTACTTTCTCACTATCTCAGACCTTCTTTAGAGATTAAAATGACGATCCAATCAGTAGGGAATGGGATGTGTGGTTAGTGTAAAGGACTAATGCACAAAATGAGCCAGAAAGAGAGAAATAGAATTTGTCTGTTACTGCAGATAATTGTGCAGAGTAAAGAGTGAGGGAGAGATAGTCTCTCAGTACAGCTGTTAGTCCATTGTCTCGATATGACAGGCGAACGTCCCCAGAAGAAAAGGGGAGGTTTTTAACCATCCTCGCTCAACTGCTCAGCCCTTCTGTTCTACCATATCATGCTGATCTCAGTGGAAAGAGCAAAGGATGAGCCCAAAATGCTGGATTATTCCACATTTCTTCTAATTTCGTCTGTCACAGTGGTTTTAAGCTTCAGGAGATCAAAAGAAATCAAAGGAAAGATTAAAAAAAGACAGAACAACCTGTGCACAAAACAGAAGAGAAGAAACAGGAAGTGACAAGGAGTCAGATAAAGAGAGGAGGGTAACAGTGACTGACAGAAAGGAGACAAAGGGAGGATGCAGCAGTACAGGAAAATAAGAAATCCTGCCAGTGAGCAAGAGACAATTAAATTCTACTGCTCCCTAAAAACACACAAACTAACTATATAATATGTGTGTTTTCACACAGATGTACATGTACACTCTCCATGGGCAAATTTCTTGAACCACACTTTCAAGCATGGAAACGGGGCTCATTGGTCTCCTCAGGTCTGATAAACTGAGAACTTTCTCTCTATGGCCCACAGGGAAATCCTCAGTAACAGGGATGGAACAAAAATTTGTCATTTCCTCTGTCACGTAAGAGTTTGATATGCATGTCAAAACAGGGCTGCGGGAAAATACTGTAAGATATCTCCCCAGACAGCATGCCTCAGCTCTGCTACATCCCATAGGACAAACAAAACTACTCATGGGTTTTCTTTTCCCCTTTGTGGGCACTGAAGTGGAAGTAGTTGCATACAAGACAAAGGAAAAATCCTATTTGGCTGGGAACCTGCCTAGGCTCAACATTTGGGGAAATACATTTATTCATTTTCTTTCTGATTGATATCGATCTCATGTCTGTGCATTCAGTACGGAGCTAAGTCAGGATATGTTTAGCCTAGCATAAAGACTGTAAATGGGGAAATGGTTATTTGTCCACCCAGCAGGGCCATACTGTAGCTACAGCTGAAGACACAGGGGTTATGTGCTGTATTTTTTTCTGGGAATGTGGAGACATGAAGTGCAGTATATATTTTGCGTTCCTAAAATTTACAATTTAAAAAAATACAGAAAGAATTCTACAACAACATAACAATTTATTCCTGGCACGGAGTATAAAACATTCATGTAAGAAAAAGAAAGAAGGAGAAACTCTGGAGACATACAACTGTTTTAAATTTAAAAATGTTCAAACATAAGATAAGATAAGATGAATCTTTGTTATCCATTTCTGGAAAGGTTCATTAAAAACAAGAAAGAGAACATTTGAGTTAATTAAACATGAAAAAGGCAGGCTGCTAACAGTGTCAGGCACCTTGGGGTGTTGCACTTTGATTAGTTAATGCTGGGCAACAGAAGCCAATCGATCGGCAGAATTGCTTATTGCTAAAAGCTACTGGGGCGTGGGGTTCCTGCCACACCGTGCCCTCCAAATGCCAGCCACTGCATCTAATAAAAAGATTTTACGCTGCGGTGAACTTTAAATCAAGCCGCTGACTTCTACAACATTCAGCAGTGCAAGAAGAAAGTTAAGAAAGTGTTGTTGCTTTGTTTGATAGAAACCTGATGGCATCTACAGGCAGACCACTGAAGGTGCAAACAAGGAGAAAACACACTTCGCTCTTTGATATTTCTCCTGATGGTCATACAGCTTTAAAGGTGATAATGGGGTTTTTTATTGAGGCTGGTGTAGATTGATCCTGACCACTGTGATTAACTTGCTTGCATTGCTTTGTCCCCCCATCACGCTTTAGTGCAATAGATCCCCAACAGCCTAGATGAAGCCATAACTATTCTCTTCATGTTCTGACTCCGTGTGATCTTTTGACTCCAACAGGAGAGCACAGACAATTAGTGATCACGCAAAACACATCTCTATAGCTGCTGTACGCGTGCATCTGGCTGTGTTCATATAGTTTTAATATCCCTGCCTGAAGGCAGTCTTTTGAAAATCATCACATCTGTTTCCTGCTGCAACTAAGGTCCTTATCAGCACCTGTGCTACAGATCCCTACTATTACTTTGCTGCACCTGTAATTTAAGACGTAACGGCGTCAGCGCTGACGAGTGCCAGTATTCCTTATGGATATACAAAGTATAGACAGACATCTGAAGCGGTAAAAGCGCTCACAGAACATCCAGGGAATAAGACACCAACCCTCAAACACTATGTGAGGAAGTTCAAGATCAAGAGTTAGAATATAGAATTGCAACTTTCTAAAATTAAAGTGTGTGGAGTTTGTCAGTGAAACCCCACATGGGTAAAATGACTGAGGGGTATGGTTCAATCAAGTTGGGAGAGAACTTGGACAGCAAAGTCAGAGAGAAGAATCTTATCCTCACAAGAACAACAGCAAACAAGGGGATGATGGGAAAAGGGTGACTTTAATATAATCAGTGGAGCACTCAGAGTCTTAGTATTGAACACAATCAAAGAAAAAGAAGCATTCAGATATTCCATAAGACATAGATGTAGATCATGGCTTTATGATCAGACACCATAAAGTTAATGATCTTATAAAGACATGACCATGAAGTAGGTTTTGAGCCTCTTCATTAACATTAACATAATCTCATTTAAACCTTAATATATTTATGAAAATAATCATATTTATGGCAAACATAACAATATGCTGAGGATTGTGGTACTCTATTTTTGAATAAAGAGATAAATAAAATGCTGAACTTGAAAAATATATAGACCAACTTTTTATGACATATATAAGTTTTACTTTATGATATGAAATGTAAATTAAGGTGGAAACAACTATTGGTAGAGATAACATTCATTCTCTCATATCCATTAAGATCCATGCATTTTCTATGTTTCTCAAAGCGTCCATATTAGTCCTAGTAGCTAGCTGAATGTGATGAAACATACAGGACTGTTGTCCCTCAGCATGTGGTAAAGGGGATCTTTATAACTCCAGTGGTTGTATGTAATACAAATAAATTCAACGTACTTGTACTTTACTTGAATATTTGCATTTTATGCAACTTTATACTACCTCTATTGCATTTTTTACTCCACTGTCTGACACCTTTAGTTAATAGTTTCTTTTCAGATCACACTTCCTGTCCAGTGAAAACCATGTATCTCCAAATTTGGTGATTTAGAATTAGATTTTTTCCGATAAACTGAAGTATTAAGTATTCCTCCTACTTCCTAAGAAAACTATTTTTTAAAAACCTTGGATTAGCTGGGAAATGTATTGTCACAAAGCTGAAAGCAGGGCTGTTTTTATTGAGCTCATGGAAAGCTGACTTTTGAAAGATGGTTCTTGCAAAATATGATGACCCAAAACATCATATATAAAAGTAAAGTTTTGCTGATAATACTTACGTAAGTACTCTTACGTATGTTTTAGAATGCAGAATTTACTTGTAGTGGAGTATTTTCACATTATGGTAATAGTACTTTTACTTAAGTAAAGGATCTGAAGACTTTCCCCACCACTATTTAACCATCTCTACACACTAAACTTTTCTTTGTTAAATTAATCTTACAAAGAAAGGCTGTAATAAATATACATGTGCTCTTTCAAAAATCAGACTACTTCCTCAGCCAAAAGAGAAACTAGATAAACCTCCCCTGTTTCTGACCCTCCTCCTTCCCTGATCATTTTCATACAGGAAGGAAATGATATTAGGTGTTGTTTACCATTTAATATCTAATTGATATATCAGCATGTCACACATTTTAAAGTTATTCAAAATCCAAACCACCGTAAACTGTCGGCTGTTTTACATCTGAGGAGAAGGTTGATGCAAAGTTATATCACGCACAGGATCTGTGTGCAACCTGGCCGTTCTTATCACAAGATCCCTGTACAGCATAAACACAGTGATGCTGACTTATTTGTCCCCAAGCTCACTATGCGTCACTCACGTCAAGTGTCACTCATTAAATTTTACAGCAAAACATTTTTCTTGATATCTTGTATAATTCTGCTGTTTTGCTGCTAATTAGCTCCTCATCCTGTAAACAACGCCTGACGACTCAAGAAAAAGTGAAAGGCATAAAACAGGCTGTGACGATGCAAAAGCTTTATGACAGGCCAGTGAGTGTAAAAGGGAAATGACCTAAACTTCTGAGACCATCTGAGAAAGTGAGACAATGCACAATACTGTTGTGTTGGCAACATCAAGAGAAAATGTAATTGAAAAGGTTGCTCATAATAACGGGCTCTTAAGAAAGATCAATAGCACATTAACCTTGTGTCTTTTACAGTCAGGCAGTGTGATGGGACATTTTAATGTAATAATTTAATATGTGTCTGAAGCTAATTTCCTCCATGTCATCCAGTGCTAAATGTTCAATAATTGTCTACTGTTTTTTAGTTATGGTACAGAATTTGAAATGTTTGCTCAACCCTAATCCATTTCCAGTAACAGTCAGATAAACGTGTTGCCCCTTGACTCCTTCAGACGAAGTGACGATGGAGGAAGTGGGCCAGACCACCCAGCTGAGGGCGGGGGAGCTCATCATCATCGTGGTGGTACTTATCATGTGGGCAGGTGAGGACATGTGTTTATTTAAGCAGGATCAGCGTTTCCCAGTGTTTCTGTCATAATCTTTCTCAAAATAACGGACAGTCCTGCATTTGCGTTTAGATGTCTGATCATGAATCCATTCTCCCCCTCCTGCCAGGTGTGATCGCTCTCTTCTGTCGCCAGTATGACATAATCAAAGACAATGAGCCCAACAACAACAAGGACAAAGCCAAAAACTCCTCAGAGTGCAGCACTCCTGAACATCCGACTGGGGGGCTGTTGCGCAGTAAGGTATAACCCAACCCCCTCCTCTCCCCGGGTGCCTCCCCCTCTGCGGCGCCGGGCAGGTGAATGGTCCCGGCCACTTCTAGACTTTTTACACTGACACTTCATGCAAAATCATAGTGTCATCTGAACCTCAGCTTCAGGCCACTTCACCACAATTGTGGCACTATTATGTGCATGACTTTGCAGCACGCTCAAGTCATGGCTTCTTATAAGTTCTGCACAGAGCCCCATACCATATCCATTTCCTGTGCTCCAACCAGTGCAGAAAACAAAAGTCAATTCTTTATTCCTTTTACTCTCCTGCTATAAACATCAATAAAGCATCCAAAGCACAGAGGCATCCTCATGCTCATTGAAGAAGCATATTGTATGATTCCTGTGAGTCCTCCAACCTTCTCATACCTGTCGTCTTCCTCTTTCCTCCCACAGTTCCCCAAGAAGAACAACAACAACAATAGGATGCCATCTGTCAACATCATTGAGGTGTGACTGCCAGGACGTCTTTTCTTTATCCAAAAGACTTTGTTCTCACAAACAAGCGAGCCCCTTTTAAGCCCATCTGCTTGTCAGGATGAGGCTGGGACTGTGGGCCCCTCGGCGGCGCTTACTCTCCTTTGGCATGGCGCCTGGCGCTAAAGTGAACCTGCAGGACTCCGGGGGTCAGGCACGGCCTGGCCGGTCCTGGTCTGAGAGCAGATTCGGTGGTGGAGTGACTGTGGCGCGAGTTCAATGGCTGCGGTGGGCTCAATACCTATAGTACCATGGGGCTGGAGAGATTAGGGCCAAATGGCTCCGGAGTCAGAGAGACTGCAGATAAACCAACCCCAGGGACCAAAGCCGATGAACAGACCCAGAGAACTTCTCGATCTCTCTCTCTCCCTCCGTCACTTCTTTCTTCTTGCCGTCTTTCAGTACATTAACGACCACAAACTTGTACATTTTTCCAAACCTGGGGGGCACCGAGATGCATCCCCTTTGCTCACAATCGTCCCCTGTACATTATTCTCATCTTTTACACCTTATTTATTAACTGTTTGTTTTTTACACTTTCTTAATTGAAGGTAAACACTGTAGATCATTTAAGCGTACCCTGTAGTTTTGGTTTTACTATTCCAGTATTTCACTTTTAACAAGGTGCCACCAGAGCAGTCCTGTTGTTCTGGTATCCGATTTTCTCTATTTTTTGTTTCGTTTGGGTCCTTCCCTTGGGCAGAAACTCTTTGCCGTCCTTTGGGGAATGTTTTCATTCTGGCGAGCTCGTTTTTCCCCCTCAGGGAATCCAGACTCCACCTGGCTAATTTAGGAAGCCATTTCTTAGACGTGCTGTGATGACGCCAGAGCAGCTTTAGAGGGATCACTCAGCTCACCACCAGAGCTGAATCACACAATCTTGTCAGAGAAGATGAAACTCATGCACTGATATTGAAAGGCATCTTCTCATGTGAACCCATATACACAGTAAGGTCCATAACGGGCATGGTTTAGTATCATCTTTCTCATATTCGCTTTTGTCCTCTTCTACTTCTTTTATGCTTTTATTATAGATTTCTGAAATGTTACATTCCACATCCAGGATGAGCCCTTTAGTATTTCCTCGTGTCTTTCTCTTTGAGCGCGGTGAATTTCAAAGCATTCTAGGGAGGAAAAAGAACAATGCATTCATCTAATTAAAGAATTTTAAAAGGGACAGGACTCTGTGGATGTCTCCGGAGAAATGGACTTGCCTTTGTAGAGACGCTGAAGAGATCCCTAATTATCAGCAATAACGGCCTTCGGAGAAGCACGGAAGCAAGGACTCTGTAGCCTCTTTGTCCAAATGCTCAACCTCCCAGCATGCAACGTTCAGACAGATGAACAAACTGCACATTGAATATGAGGGAATGAATCCTGAGCCTCATTTGCAGGTGATCCCTCTCCTGAACTTTCAGAGAAAAATATTTCAGCGCTGTTGTAAAAACTTTTGTTTCTGATGGAGAGCGTGGAGAGCGCCCAACCTTAAACCCTAAGACATCTTTATGACATCCTGAACAGAAGGGCTTCTATCAAGACTTTTTTCACAAATCACAGTTAACAGTTGTGTTGGAACTCCATGTTGAACAGGATAAAAACAAGGATAAGGGATCAACTGTCGCCATACAGTACTGTGCACTGTATACTGTGAGGGAACTTGTTTCAGCAAATGGTATGTTTGAGGGCTGATTCAATCTCAGTAGTGCTGCCTTAAAAATAATATCATATGGTTTATTTAATAAGATGGAAGGCCCTATATCTCACTTTTGTGTCATATTAATTAGCTTTCACATGATATTTAAATGTGTGTGCAAAGTACAAGGAAACATTAGCTGAGGTAAGTTTGAAAATGTGGAAGAAATGGTTGGCATTTAATGTGTAAATACATTTTTTATTTCATATTTGTTTGTTCGTGTCAGGCTTTAATGAAGCGCGACAAGACTAATGTGGAAAATGTATCAACTCCTAATGTAAAAGGACACCGCGACTGGCGAAAATGTAGGTGATTCGTTTTTGTTAATAAATCGCTTAGTCCTGTCAGTAATGAGCTTTTTTATAACACTCCTGTATTATCTACTTAAATTACATTATGTCATTGTGCTGTTCATGTGCAAGAAGAAAATACTTTTTTTTTGATGAGGGAAAATGATGCGAAGCGCTGGATGTTTTAAATAATGATCCAAACTTAATGGTTGAGAGCCATTCAGCCGCTGGAGATCTGTATTGACAGGCAGCACGATAAACACACCAGCTACTCTTGTTCTGCACGGACTCCATCTCAATCTGCCAATTATGAATAGTCATTCATTGTAAATTCAGACACAAATACATGTGTGCACACAAAAACAACACGTCACAACTCCCATAGCCTTGAGTGTGGTGGAAGAGAGGCGGTTAAGAGAGGAAGGAAGGTTGTGGAGGAAGGAAGGAGTGGGAAGAATGATGACTAATGCACTGGTAGGCTTCTAGCAATGCCCTCGCTTAATAAGAGTTGAAAGGCTCAAGCTTGCGCTCCTCCACTGAGCACTGATTCATGTCAGGAGCATAGCCGCTTTAAGTTAAAGTCACAAAGTGGGAAAAGGTACCGATTAACACGGACGCTTAGCTGTTGCCAGGACAAACCTGGTGAAGCCTCGAAATGGTTATCTGCTGCTTTACCCAGAGTGATCAGCGCTTCACCAAAGACTTCTGAAGGCTGAATCCATTTTCTCCCTGGAACACTGGCTCTCCAATCGATAGGCATTCATCTAAGCAGTAACAGATGATGATGATCGTCTCCCTGGATGATTTCTTTGAGTGAGGGCCATGTCTTAAGTTATGCCAACAATATTTTTCTTCTGCATTTTATTATTTACTTTCTTCCACCTCAGTTGAATTAGTAAAAGTTCATTCCTAATATGGCAAAATTAGAAATGTTTCAGTAGCTCAAAGTCTTGATTTCTCCCAGTCTTTCTCAGTTTTGATCAACTCAAAATCACCAAAGATGACGATGCAGTTGAGAGCGCAAAGAACTGTGCAATGTGCCTGTCACTATAGGCGTAGTTAAGGGCTGACCCATTTTGAGTCACAATAACTTTCTGTTTTTCCAACATACAAATCCTGAGAGTTGCCGCTCTTAAACATTTCAGACATGTGTTCAGACAACAAAACAAAATGATTGCCTTAAATATGCACATTTCAAGGTTCTAATTTCAGTGGCTTCGTCATATCTGAACATGTCTTTTAACCTCGCACAGCTATTAGTTTGTGAAACAAATCTCTTAACACAGTTATGTGCATACATTTCACAGTTGTCATTTCAATAGCTTGCATTTCTTGTGAGGTAAAGTTTAAACATTATTAAGATTTAGTGAATATGTCTGATGGGGGGAGCCATCAGTGCATCAGGAGCCCCTCTGTCAGTACAAGGTTGTCATGGGATGGTAACTGATTTGGTGTGCTGGGACCATGTCCTGTGCATTTTCTCTGTAAATATTTTGTAAATGTTTGAAGTATTTTTTGTCATCTTATGCACAAAATAAATCAGCACTGTACCAAAATATTTTTGTGTTCCATTTCCTAAATGCGATTTATATTTTGCTTTTACTGAGACTGAGGTAAGAACTTCCAGAAACATTGTATTGACTATAGAAGTCAATGCCTCATTCATTCCCAATGGATCAGGTTCTCTCTATTTCAAGCTGAAGTGTATATCTATAATAATACAGTAAATATTTATAATGATGTAAGGGATTTGCTAAGGGCATTTTCACAAACTAACTACTGTGAAAGCTGTGAAGGGATGTCCAAGACAGATGACAGATCAATATGTTTACAAATGAGCAAGCTCTTGAAATTACAACATTGGAATGTGCGTAATTAAGGAAATAGGTTATTGATAAACATGATTAGCTGAGTTGTGTTGCTTTTTTGAGATGTGAAATGTTTTAGGGCTGTCACTCTCTATAATGGCAGTGGTTTGAGATTTGTATGTTGAAAAACAAAAAGGTTATTGAAGATTGAAATGGGTCTTACTGCACTTTTACGATGGCCCCTAACTACGCCTGTAGTGACAGGTGCGTTGGACAGACATTCAGTTTCTTTGCAATCTCAACTGCATCGTCATCTTTGTTGATTTAAAGGTGATCAAAACTGTGAAACGTCTGCCTAAATTAGGCTTTTTCCCACCACACTATCCAACATATCCTAAATCAGGGAGAAGTCAAGGCTTAGACACGGAGCTACTGAAGGTAACAGCCACGAAAACCGGCAAATGTCCAACATTAACCTAACATCACCCTGGTAATACAAACTATGCGTATCACCAACTCCAAATACAATACTCTCCTCTAGGTTGCCATTGTAAATATTGTATTCCTTACTACTGATTTAAATGTAGGGCTATTGTTAACATCCTATTTTCTGGCAGTTTGTTGTCCAACTTTAATGTTAACAGTTTTGAAAAAATGCGTTAGTTAGTTCTGTACCTCTATTAAATGTAAAGCTACAGTCAGCAGCTGGTTAGCATAGCTTAGCATAAAGACTGAGGAGAATATGGAGCCAGGCAAGCTGTTCCCGTTACAAGTCTTTATGCTAAGCTGCCAAGCTACTACTATGGTATTCCAGCTACATATGATATTTCTCCTGTCATCAGACTCTTGGCACAAAAGTAAAATAAGCATTTTTCTCCAAATGTCAAACTTTTCCTTTAAGGATCTGAACATTAGCAATGTGTTTGAGTGAGATCTTCTACACAGAGAGGCTAATCCAGCAGCCTCAGTTTGATGGTTAACAGCTGTGTGGACCATCATTTGACAGTGACCTGACATGAGAATGTTAAATAACTGAATTAGTGGAAGACACCCGGGTATCTAACTCGTCCTACTGCTAAAGAAACAAACTCATCATTATAATAATAATCCAAAATAATTTGGATCCTGTGAGGACATCCAGCCACTACTGGTGTTTCTTCGAGGAGAGGTTAAACTGTCAACCACAAATAAAAAATAATTTTCCTTAGTCACACTCCGCTAATAGTGACGACTGTAAGCGCTCAACATTCCTTTTCGTCCCTGCGGTGGTAAAGCACTCTTAACAACACACTGAGGACTGTCTTTCAGTGTGAGAGGCACATGGTGTTCTCATGCTACTGTATGCCGGAAAAATACAGTATGCTCAGTAGCAGTAATGGACTATTTTGCAACAAGACGAAAGGGCAGTAGAGACATTGGATTTTTCCTAACTTACAAAATGTGGATTTTGTATGAGACTCGAACACACCTGGAAACTGAAACATCATTGTGATGTTAGAGAAGTTGGACTATTTCATTATGGGTTCTTAACTATAGGAATTAGATCCACAAAGAAGCATGGTTTAGAAAAATGAACTGCTTTATTAGTGCCATCATGTTTATATTCATTGTATGAAGTGTACAGCAGGTATTGCATAATGAGGGCTAGCATGGTATAACGATTATGCACAAGGTTACACAACTTCAATTATGAAGAACACGGTGTATGCTTACTTGTGTATGCTTAAATAAAATAAAAATATCTAATATTTTCCACAAAGCTATGCGTTTGATTTTGTTTGGGAATAACAACAAAATACGGGATGGTGATGGCATAAGTTGTGGATAAGCCTTTGGTGTGAGAGACCCGGGTTCAAGTCCACTGTGACACCAATGTGTCCCTGAGCAAGACACTTAACCCCCTGGTACGCTCCAGAGGTGTGCAACCTGATTATATCTATCCATCTATATATATCTATCTCTCAATTGCAAGTCGCTGAATGAATGAAAATATGAGATCGTCTCAACCTTTCTGGATAAGATAATCAGGATGGTGAATTCAGTTTTTTAAACAGTTTACAGAATCCAGGATGTCAAGTTCTCTCTTTTGTTAATACGTGTTAATCCCAGACTTCAACTGTCAAGAGTTTTCTCCATCAAAAAAATAAATAAATAAAAGCATCTTACTGTTACAGGGGAGGGATGGAGTCGCCTCCGGAGACACACCCAACATGGTTTAAGGCTAAACAAGTAAGCAACTTGTGTAAGAAAACTAGGCTGAATTTGCAATCACTTCAAAATCAATGAGACTTAAATAGAAAACCCAACATGGATTGGATCTTACTCAGGTCCCACATTAGATTGTTTGTCCATGCATCAATACAAGAGCAATCGTTGGCTGGACTCCCTGGCTGAGCAGCAGAAACGAGGCGCTAGGGTTTTGTAGCTGACACGCATGATCTCGCATTCATGCCATGTATAGCTCAGTCTTTTGTTTTTGGTCGTGCAGTTTGTTTTGACAAAACCCAACACAGCTGCAGAAGCACTGCGAGGCATGTCAGACCAACACAAACAGCTTTCATCGCTGCAGAGATCCTGTTCATGGCTCTGGAGAGGTAAAACACTGTTGGAAGCTGTGCAGAGGTGCTGTGGCTGCTCGCCTGCACACGTGCCCTGCAGTCCGGACAGCATGTGTCACGAGGCCTTTACTGACACCCACACACCTCTGCCTTCTGGATGGCTGGTCAGGGACTGACTGCCCTGCTATCTCTACAGACAGGATTACTTTAACAGCCTGCATTATTCAACAGAAAGGACCCATGCTGATGAGTTCCATGTATTTGGGTTCCCTGGGGTCACTTCTGCCAGCCTGTACCTGTGCACAGCAACTCTAAGGCTGCGAAGTAGACTCTGAAATAATGCTGACAAAGATGCCGCATTGGTCAGCAAATACTAACAGAGGATGACGACAGTAGTAAATTGAACAGAGTGGGCTTTATTTTTGAGTACTTCATCAACAGCACTGCCTCGCTCTCACACAAACAGCCCTGCTCTGACTCCATGGACAGAGTTCTCCACTCAGTGGCACTTACACTTTTCTTACAATGGGTTTAACCAAAGCTGGGTGTACATTGTGGTCACTGCTGCTCTATAATTAAAAAGGTCAGTTCACACAAATCACTAAAACATTTGACCATTTAACCCCTAGTGGTAGTGTTTACATTAGTGGGCAGGTTTTAAATATCCACAACTAAAACTTCTGCTGACACCCCAAAAAGAAGGTACAAAGGAATTTTGTTTGTGGTCCTCACAAAATTACTTTTGAAAACCTGAAAAGCAGGGTTTCTGGATTGTTATGGATAATTGACAGACTTTGTTGTGAACAGATTTCCTATTTTATTAGATATAATAAAGTTGTTAAAAATGGCCAGTGGTCTGAGAAAATCCATATTAGCCAGGACATTATTAACGGACACATTCCCCCATTACAACTTAGGGTATGATTGAAAAATGCTCATATGATATGGGTGCACTGACCTTAATAAACACTTCCATCTAACACCATGCCAATGTATGGAGCACAAAACTTAAACAAATTCTGCCTGCCTAAAACATTATATCACATTATAAATTCAAAGATATGCTGAATGTCATGTTGTAAAAAGAAGTAATCCAATATTTGTTTGTTTCCTCAGTCTTGAGTTAAACATGCAGAGATGCCTGCTTACATAAATCTCTAGAGGTTTGTATGAATGACTGGACTAAAACCTCTTGGTAAACATTTCCAGACTTTCATAATCATCTACTCAGCTTTGCCCTGCACTACACCTTAAACCAACATCTCCCATCTGATCCACACATGAGGCTTGATGTACAAGGGTGGACAACGTAACAGGAACACTTGATACAATGTAATCCAACATGCCTCCTAAACTTAAATACATTTATCATTTTCTATTCTGCTAGCTGCTGTCATTTGAAGGATCATCCACAAAAACTGATGGGAGGCTATTGTATGTATAAGAGGAAAGAAATTAACAGGAACAGTTGAGAAACATGTCAGTATAGGTCTGGACTGTTTGCATCATATCCAGAGGAAGTAAACCATGAGCAGGGAATACGCTGGCACTCACAACAAAAGTACAAATGTTAAACTTGGAAGTACAAGACATACTTATATTCACATTAAAACAGGCATAGTTCTTACAGTAAAAAGACAACGCACTAAAGGTCAGTATTATAACACCAAAACATGCATTAATTTTATATACACATACATGCATAGTTCAAAAGAAAAATACAGAGGAACACTCAAACTGACAAACCAAAAATAAACACCACAAATTCAACTAAGCAAAACTAGTGCAAACATTGATCTGAGGCCCACTTCATACCTGGTACAACTTAAGATCTCTTAAGAAGTTAAGTGCCATCTGTTCACAAGAAGATTCCACAACGCCTAATTTAGGGAAATGGACTTCTTTCAAAGATTTTTGGGACCTTGGCAAAGCGCTTGTGTGCTGTAAAATTCTTGGCCTGCCATTCACAGAGGGCCATTGTTGGCGTCATGTTTCCAAACCGTCTTTGGTAGTTTCTGAAATTAAGCACAGATCCCAAGCCACATATTTTATGTTGGCTGAAGCAAATCTGCCTTAGGAGTATTTTAATTCCACACCTCTTCAAAATTATAAAACCCAATGAGGATGATGTACCTGCGTGTGAGGTCAGAGGGATGCTGCCACTGTCTGCCATTTGTGTCCGGTGTCTGGTCAGCCACATGGGTCATCAGGTTCATCAGCTCAGCCATGACATCTTCAGGAAACGATTTAAAAAAAAAAAATAATAATAATCGATGAGATGGATGGATAGATAGAGACTTTAGATGATATCAATGAGCCCTACTCTCGCATTAATGGTGCAATCGACAGCTATGAAAAATCCCATTAAAGGCCATCTCAGTGTGGTTCTCTGGTGTTTGTGGTAGAGCTCAGGGTCATACCTTGGCCTGATCCTGATTTCTCATTTATGTGTCTGGTGACCGAATGGACATACAACCGTTTCTCACGCTCCCAGTCCACCTCCCTGTCGAAGATCACCG